TGAATTACATGATGATGCCAAATTATCTTAACATTTACTTACTGTGTGTAGGATTAAGATATTGACAAATATTCATTCACATTACTCGTATGTTTACTGTGAAAGTCTATTTAAAAAAAATTCCTTTACACGAACACTATGGGATTGCCCTCAAAGTTGTAAGTTAACATTTATGACTTAAACGAAATATACCAAATAGTATTTAGTTAGTATAACTTTAGAACATAATATCTCTCCGAACCATCGAAGCACATTTATCGAATTAAAACTCTTACTCCTTAAAAACAAGAGATTTAAAAAAAGGAAAGCGATATAATCGGGATACTGTAATACTTGACTTACTTCTTCCCCGCAGGGGTAAGAACTAAGCTTGTTATCGAACAATCGAATTCAATCGTATGAGGTTACAAACAAGTAATTTATCCCAAAAGGTGTTTTTTTGAAAATCCTTTCATTAGAATGGGAAACGATATTGAGGATCATATAAAGATTGATTCAATTATACCCCATTCACAGTGGCCTCAAACACCGCGACAGCAGCGGGACTGTCCCGCTGCTGTCGCGGTGTTGTCTTCAGTGTGAAGGCTCGGACCCGTTATAAACTATCGCGGGATAACACCGCCTCGCGATAACGCCGCGACAAACTATCGCTAGGTTCGCCTAGCTACAGCAGCGGGACAGTCCCGCTGCTGTCGCGGTGTTTACTCAGTGTGAAGGCTCTCCGCTATAACACCGCGACAAACACGTGTGATTTGTTTACTTACCTATCACTGACCTCTTTTCTCCAGCAATGGGGAACATAAAGTGAAATAGAAATAAAGTAACCAGTGGATTCAAATTGATTTTATTATTATGTAGATATTATAATTATCCAAATAAAAATATTTCACACTTCAAAAAATTAAAATATTCTGACTGGAAGCAATAAAAATGCTAGTTTTTTAAAAAGTAATATGATCGAGGATACAAAAAGCAACTTGACATGTTTACGCGCTGAAGTATTTCCGGTCATATCGGGGTCACTCGCGGGTCATGAGCCATGCATACACGTGTTTGTTACGGAGGTAATAAAAATCACCCGCTGCAGCGTGAATGGGTACATGATATTTATCCCGCTGCTGCAGCGGGATAACTTTTCTACTGTGAATACATTTGTAGCGGTGTTAAGGCGGTGTCGCCGCTCCGCTACAACGCCGCTACAAATTTCAAAACCACTGTGAATGGGGTATTAGACCTCTCTCAAAGAAACTTAATACAACAAACGATGTATGCAACATTTCGAAAGACCTATCGTAATTATATTAAAAGAGTGGGCGCGTTTCCAATACTTTACAACGAAATATCAAACCAAATGCGTGGCTCTGGATCTGGAGGCAAAAATCCATTTATCATCCTTGTTACAATTTATTGTTCTCATATTAATTTGATATCAATTTCATTTGTTCTCGCTTTGATTTCTTCTCACTTATATGATGGAGCATGCTTCAAGTAGGCCTATATGTAAGAGGGTAAGATATCAATTTCATTCCTACCATGAAATGTCCTTGGAAAAAGTGAGACCTTTTTTAAACGGAAAATCGAAAACAGCTTTTTCGCGCAGTACACAATGCGTTTTATCGTAGCTAAAAGAGATGTCAACGGATCTAATTGGAAACTGGCAGAGCATTTTCAAAGAAGAGTATTTTTGAAAAAAACATATAATAACGGCTAAAACTAAACTTCGGAGATATTTCGGTTATGCTTAGTGGTAGTTGAATAAAATATTGTTATAAATTTGTATCGCTGGAATCAGCCTACATAAATATATAAACATACATTGGCAAGTCTAAGCTATTTTTCCACACGACTACGTCTTAAATGTCAGAAACACGATCGCATCTATTTTCTATTAATCAACTAAAGGACAATTTAAACACCATTTTTTTAAATCTCATAGAACTTACGTTCGGATTACTTCATTACTCATTTAAATTCGTTTAAATTGGTGACATACAAGGCAAGTAAAATTGCCTTAGCTTGATTTTCCGAAAATAGTTTGCCAACATGTTCAGTTTATCTCATTAACATACGAGGATAATAACACTACCAGAGCGTGAATTATACAACACATCGAAATATTTGTTTAAATATAAATTCTTCTTCACTATTTCATGTAATTAATAACAAAATGCAATAGTACTTAGTGAAATTATGGGACGTACCTTGGGCCTGCCCAAACCTATTCCTATCAACCTTTTATTTAGATTTTGGAAATAGCATTTCTCATGTGATATTTGCTGGCAACCAAAAACCTGTATTGCTATCGTAGAACCCCATTTAAGAAAGAAATGATTCACAAGTGCTGGCAGGCGTGTGTGATTTTTGATGACCCCCCCCCCTCAATTTTGTTTCAATAAAAAAGAAAAATAATAAAAGAAAAACCTTTTCTTTTTAAATTTGTGCTAAAGGGTGACCCCCAAAAAGTGAACTTACCCCCCCCCCCCCAGCTTATTCAGCGGCTGGCTGAGGCGTTGCGAAATTTCGGTCCGATTTAAAAATGTTAAAACCCCCACCCTAGAAAAAATTCTGCGTACGCCACTGAGTGCTGGTAACAGAAATCAAATAGGGCTTTAAATTATAGAATTAAAAAAAAACAGTTTAGATGCTAATAAAAATGTATGAGAATCAGGCCTCAAGTTACCGTTAAGGAAAACAGTAATACCTGTGTGAGGACAATAAACAATTATATCCGTTTCATTTTTCGAAATTTCCTGGAAATGTTTACGACCGCTATCGCGAAAACGGTTAAACATTGATGAGAATTCTAATAACAATATATTTTTTTTTACGAGAAGATATGCGACGTGATACTTATTACCTTTTTTTTGAGAAGTGGAAATGTCTTTTTTGAACTTTTCCTTTTTTCTTTGTTTGTAGTTCTAATATTACGAACGATTCTTAAAACAATACGTTACCGCATTTCACGTTTTCTCAAATTCACCCTTTTCCCGTTTCCTAGAATTCCACTGTTTTTTATTTTTTTATTGTGGATAATGTGGCCATGGCCCAATTTTTATATAAAAGCAGTGCAGTATCATCATATAATTTCTTGTAACAATATTCTTTAGCTCCATGATGAGAAAACCCGCATAACCAAAATATGATGAACAGTCTTCTTAGTGTTGTTGCTTCTCAAATTTCCCTGCTTATCCCATCCGTCGCGACGCGACTGGTAAAAGAACCTCTGGAAAACAACATTCTCAGTCAAACAAAGTAGTGGGCTTGGCAGGCCAATGAACTAAGTGAATGTGGGTCACATCTTCCCGATAAGTCAGACCATCTAGCTGGACGTTTAGGGGGTGTTTTCTTGCAAGAATCTAGCCACATGGCAAGGCTACCGGTCACCTGATACTCCCTTCGCCCCGCACTGGCCGGGTAGAGTTACATCCGGATAGTGTCAAAGACAGCCAGTGGAATCGCGTCCATATATTCCCCCGAGTAAACAGTTACTTTTCTTTTTGGCTCTTTACATGTCGTTCACATATGCTCTGGGTTACAGCAATAGGCATAATTTTACTCAACACATGTCGTCAAAACCGCAGTATTATGATATTTCATATGGATTTTCTTATACCTAAACTAGATTATGAACAATAGATGGCTTTAATCACTGATGCAAAAACCATGACAACTGCCGTCCTACTTTGCGGTGCTGAGGATTCTTGTCAAAGTAGCATTATCCCTGACCAGCCTTCAATATCGGAGTGTTTCCTTCTGCAGGCTACTGCACTTTGACATCTTTCTGTTTTCCCGATGCATCGGACATTCCCAAAGGACGAAACATGAGCACTTTAACAGCATTGCCCAATGGCAAACCAAAAATAACATATCTGTAGAGTCGATGTCATGGACAACCGTCTTCCGGTCTCTCTGTGGTTGAATAAGTTGATAATGTAGAAGCATTCTCCCTTGGTTGCCTATTTTTCGTCACCCTCAATACGCGGAATTGTCCAAATCACATGTAAAATTTACTCGTACAATATTCTCGATCATGTCTGGCGGTTTTCACACTTCCATGAAAAGGGCAGAGCCAAATTATTAGTATACCACAATACCAAACGAACCACATTTTTACTTGATATTCTTATCGCTTTCTTTATGTAACTGGGGATTATACTGGGCCGGCAGAATGGGTAAAAAGACATCACCGCATAAAGCTGGGAGATAGCAACCGCTAGGTTCCATGGATCGCGGCTTGAAAAGAAAGACATCCTTTGAAAATACAAGAGACATCAGCTACGCAGAAATATTGATAATTACTCAATTTATATTCTACGTTGACTGCGATAATTCGTATGTATATTATATAGTATTCCTTAAACCAGTACTGTTATTCAGTACTGTCATATATTTTAAGTTAAAAAACATATCCAATTCACTTCGGCTCACAAATTTCGACGTCCCTTCATGATCGCAGTCAATGGATCTAGACAGCATTAGTGACGCGACGTATGGTAATAAACCCCAATGAAACAATTTGCTCTGCACCTGCATTTAACCGAGGAATCAATTAGTGCATTAAAAAGGTGTTCTTCTTACGATGCGAGTCGATCATAACTCCTTTTTGTTAAAACAGATTTGTGTCTGGCATAACATTTCGGGGTCCCTTCAGCAGTTCATGATCACAGTCAGCAAGTCTAGACACGATTGGTGACGTTACGTTGGGTGAGTAGTACATTAAAACAAAACACAATAGATTCGCATTCGCGCTTCCAGCAGGTAATCTAAAAGAACACCGACAACGGGGTTCTCCGTTTTTTTTAGTTTTGTCAATCATCACCAGTTGTTGCTGTTGGTAACACAACGTAGAGTAAGTAAATACATCAAAAACACATCGCGATTCTTAGCCGCACTTCCTTCAGGCAACCAAACAGAACCCCAAAAGGGGGATCATCAATTCAAAAGTTGACTCAAAGATAACACTTCTTGATTAAAGCAGCCTTTAGAACTGATAACAGTTCCGAGTTCCTTCGTGTTAGCACATTATATCCGCATCTGCCTTTCCACCAGGTAACCGAACAGAACACCAAAGGGGTATTCATCATCTCATAAAGTGAGTCTTTGGTTCTATTTGGTAATCCGCTATCTGACGAAGAACAAGTAAGTAGAGAGGGTAAGGAAAAGAAGCTTGACGACTTCGATCCGTGGCAGGCACTCTCCGGCAGCTCGGTTGCAGTAGTTCTCCCGACAGCATGACTGGCAAGCACCGGTCTTGTTAAGGGACGATTCGCAGTAGTCCGCCAGTATGCATTCATGGTAGATCATACAGCCTCTTGAAAAACTGGTTATGTGTCCGGCTGCCATCATCTTATTTACCTAATCAGGAAACAGAGAAAAAAGATAGAACGTGATAAAGAAAGTAAAAAAAACATGGTGATAAGTAGTTGTCTTCCAATCTTGTCCCCTAAAGCGATAGGATATTCCTTCACTTGCCTAGACCTGATAGAAACCAGGTCCAAGCAAACCAAAAAAAATCTCCAGGATCTGCAATAAAGTTGTCTTTACTGATGAAGTATTTTTTTATTTTACAAATGAAATGATTATCTTAAGTATTTCCAAAGTAAATTCAAAACTCGACTTATGAGATTTTGCTATAGCACGAAAGTAGGCACCAGCTTCCAGTCATTTGGTCATCGTGTCAGGTCGTGTAGCCGTGTTCCAGATGCGATGAACAGATGATTCGAAGTAAGCCCGACGCATGTTGTGTGTAAGCTTGTGTCCAGTATTCAATATACCCGTACGTAGAAGGAAAATAAGTTCGTTTTAATATATTATAAAAGTGCGGTTGAAATTTTGCTTTAGTTCGTAATACAAAGCTGTGTAGCATGAATCCATCCATTGGAGAAGCACTGATGTCATAGAGAGAGTCTCAAAAACAGGATAAAAACCCAGGAGGATAAGGCCATTGAGTAGAAGAGGGAATGAAATCGTATAATCTTCTTTTGGCGATACTAATCCTTTCCTCTTTTCTCTCTTTTCTCTCTTTCCCCCATCTTTTTTCGTTCTTTTTGACATTCGAATGGTAGGCATATGACCCAAAGCGTCTCAACGTAAGCTACTGATAATAGATACACCGTACAGAGTTTGTTGGAATTATATGTGTACAAATAATGTATTTAAAAAAGAGCGACACTTCTGCTAAACTCGTTACATTCGGAAAAGATACATTCAGTAGCATTGCTGGTCAAGGGAAGGAAATTCCGGATTGCTGAAACCGAGAAGGATTTTTTTCCATGGATATTTAACTCCCAGCATGCTTAAACTGAGAAGTCATATGGATGGATTGTGTTCCTGTGGGTAAAGTGCAGAACAGATCTCTTTCCGCACACCGTCAATATCCTAAGGTACACGATAACTTAAACCCAATTCGAAGTGAACAGTTCGTGCACTATGACTCAAACCCCCCTCCGGGAATCGTGTAACAGTAAAAGGTCAACGTCAAAGCGATTCTTCATTATTTGTGCTCTTTTAGTTGAGCACTGTTTTTATTGGTCTGAGGCAATGATGAACGACAGTAATTACCTCTCATAATTGTGTTTATAATAATATTGTCGTGTTATTGTCTCAAAGGCGTTGATTGCGCCAAAGACACATTCTTCAATTTCATTTATAGAAATGAAAAGCCTAATTTTGCACTAGTCACGGACGCAGATATTGTTTGAGAACATAGATATCATTTTTTATTTCCCCCGGCTCCGCCATGCCATATAAAATCTATGACGATACCTGACAGACATATTCAAGATATTTTTCCAAATCATAATTGGAATACCGGGAGAACGTTACCGTGCAAAATCGTGGCATATGCGATATATGTATTTTAAACAGTGTAGGAGTACGCATGCTTGGGATATTTACAATATTTTTTTTTAACAACAAGGAATTTTCGGACAAATAACTGTCTTACGACCATTTTCTTGATTGTCAAATTCTCCGAAAGAGGGTAAAACGATTTGTTTTGTGCCTGAAAAATCCTCTTGGTCAATTGCCTCATGAAACTTAGGGGGAAACAATGATCCAAAAAAATATGAGGTTGTCACATTCCCATATCCCTATTAACCAGTGCCTTGCCCTCTCCAATCTCAAAAAATATTTGAAAATACTACAGTATATTAAAATTTGAGTTAAAAAACTCTTATTCTTGACAATATGTTAAGAATAAAAAGATTGTTTTCATTTTTAATAGATATTTCAGAAAATTGGATCTACGATATCAAAGGTGACAAGATTTTTTAGTGAATTCGACGAGCTTCGGATTCACAATTATTGAAAAGATGTTCTACTAAAGAACATGAATCACCTGTTGCGAAAGTGTCCTTCCCAATCTCTCAAAATTACTTTAAAGTTTGACTTACGTAGCATGATGGAAACGTCGAAATATTCATTACACTGTTTGGGCATTCTTCATATTCTGCTGTCTCTGCCGCTTTGAACATGCAGTCATCGAGGATGCTGTCGTAATCTTCCCCGTCATGGTTCTGATAGGCGCCACATTTATAACAGGAGAGCTTGCCGTTGGTGAGGACGTAAGACTGTTTGGTGGCGTTGTCGTCTTCCTCGTCGTAAGGTAAGACGTGGTCGGGTTGATCCATGGGAGGGATGTCGTTGGTCTCGTTCCTGGTCGTCGTCGACGTCGACCCGCTGTCGTCCGTCTCTGGATAGCTGGAGGCCGATGATGGGGTGAAGCCGTAGGTGCTCACAAGGGCCATGAAACGAACTGCAGTGAAGAATATGAAAGAAGAATGAAGTGTTTTAAGTATTATCAGTGGCGTATCCAGGAATATATAAACGGGGGAGGGGAAGGGGAGAGGGAAGGGATGAATCCTTACTCAGAAAACAAAATGAATCAGACAGCAGCTCTTGCCACGGACCTTTAGGTACACTTCCCTCCAAATATGATTTTCCCATGAAAAAGAAGGGGAAAAGTATTGTTGTGTTCGCAATATGTTGATACGTTACTTTGAAGAAAATACTAGTTTTCTCATAAAAAGGAATAATATGTTCGTATAGACAAAGAATATACATAGTAAAATATATTTTAATATTTTTAAAAATATTTGGATCCAAAGCGGACACTTTGAAACCATATCAGTGTGATTAATGCTATTTAGATTTTCACTGCGACTATGAAGAGACCACATTAGAATATAATCCAATCTTCATCATTAAGTCTCATGTTATAGCACTCACCGTTTTATAAGCCTTTTTGTCTCTCGAAAATTAAAACCTAAACATGTGATAACTATTCATTCAGACCTTTTTATGCACTGTATATCATCTCCATACAGAATCGTCGATACGCCCCCTGATAAATGGACATGACTGAAATAAGAACAACTAAGTTTTGGTGTCAAGGAGAAGAGAACCCTAGATTCTGTTTATGCGGATGTTCGTCTGGCGCTTACGGCACTCCCATCAAAAACATAAGATGCACCTTTAACAGATGCTTCCACCCTTTCATCTTGTTGTTTTCCTCTTCCATCATTCTGCCCAATTTCCCACTTGACCGCAATAAAACAATGCGTGTTGTTGCTTCGCATTTTGAAAATTAAAGAGGGGGTTGAGTTCTGGTAAAGATGAGAATAATTTGTGAGATTTCTCTATTTTGTGTGTGTCAGTTTGGCTGATTATCAGAGTAGAAGTGTCACACTAAAAAAAGAAATTGCTCCTTCACATTATCAACAAAAATATATGACGAGAAATAACTGAAAGTTCGGGATGAACTTTCAGGCCGTTTGTGTTGGTAGTCCCACATACCTGTTTTTCAGTGTGCTGTGCGCATAGTTTAATATGTGACTTGCAGCAAGATTCCCAAATTCTTTACCATTTTGATGATTCCAAAACCTCGCAGTATTCACCGATTCTCATGTACTGCATAATGATCTTATCCCAATAGCTTCTAGACAGTGTTTTTCCACGATGTAATGATCAGTTCTCAACGTTCTCTTTAAGAGAATTTCAATGTGCCCATAGATCACTTGAAAGACTTTTCGAGTGGGAGAAGGATGGAGAAAATGGATTTTTGAATGGCTGTGGTGGGCGTGTGATTTTCCTTTTCTCTCTGAAGCAATTCCTGAATTAATGTGGCATAAACAAAAGCCTGCAAGGAACGGACGGTAGATTGTCTATAAATAAGAGAAATACTTGTGTGACTTGCCCCTAAGTTTCAAACAGCATGCCGCATAATCATATTACGAACGCATACTCTTGAAAGTTATCACCACAGGCAATGCTTATTTCAAGTACAAAGATCTCTAGTTCTTTTAAGATTTAAAGCCTATGTTCTAGAATGAATATTGTAACATCCCCTCTAGCGCTATCTCAGGTCAGCTGTAGCAGTATGGTTCCGCAACTCACTGCTTCCCTAGCAGCGCTGCTGATTCCCGCATTGAGTCCTCTGTCTGCGAAGTGAGAATTAAGTATTGGGTAACTTTGTCTCACATTTTGAAACAAAATACTGGATATAGCTCATGCTGCAATGATAATTATAAACATTTAGGTCAGTCAGGATCCCCATGACTTTTACAAGCCGATCGCTTGTCTGATTATCAACATATTTATAATTGGAAATCGAAATCAATTTTAAAGGATTGTTTTCATTCATTACCCTCCTCTTTCTTCTATTACTATATCTTTCTTATTTTGCCATCGAAATAATGTCCACACTTGATTAAGGGGAGGGTGTGGGAGCTGATCCATGTGTCTTATTTCCCCGTCCTCTTCCCCTTCTCCCCTACCATTATATCTGTTTTCCACGCTGTTTAAAGGTTAAGACCAGTTTTGGAAACGCCTCCTCTCAATAAATGAAATGGAAGCTCTTATTACCAATCATGTGAAAGAATATGTTTTGACTAATACGTGATCATGCAAATTTTGCTGAGAAACCGCCTACTAATATATTTGGTAAATTAGTTTATCTATTGGGATGTGATAGATATTACGCACGTGTTGCGCACGTGTGCGTAGTCCCATATACATCTTTCTGTGTACAGTGCTTGTAACTTTACCAAGACTGGGCCAAATTTCTTATGATTGTGATGATTCCAGAATCTTGCAGTACACACCAATACTTATATGCTAGATGATCAACCTTTCTGATCGATTTCACAACGTTTCTTTCGCAATGTGATCGCATGACCATAACTGGTCTTTATCTTTAAGCTACGCCCCTGCAAACCTGCACTCGAAAAGGTTGACATTCTGAGGTGAAAGCTCATTGAATATGATACTTCAAAACGCCCGGGGGACTTGGTTTGGTAGGGAAAAATCGATACATATTTCCTATGGCCAATTTGCCAGAGCATCGAGCGTACAAATAAGGTGTTTACAAACTGTTCTCTTTAAAGTGGGTATTTCTGCTGGTTTGCAGTTTCAAAATACGCTCTGTTTCACTTTATACCTCAACCTAGATTTGTCAGTAAGTAGATACATTCCACTGTAGATATAAGTATTGTATTACACGCTAAAAGGAGGAGTGTTAAACGAAAAGGGCAAATCAAATGAAATTTTTAAAAAGTTCAAATTGCAACCTTCAAAACAAAAATTCTCTAGTAAAGTTCTTTTGAAAACCCTAAAGATATGTCGCTAGATTAACAAACACACAGTCATATTAAATTTCGATTTTGAATTTTTCTGTACTATTTTTTGCAATATCATAGTAAGTAGAATAGAGTTGTTTTCTATTTTTTTTATTAGCTAAGGGCTAAACGAACCGTTATTGGGATTTCTTGACCTGATGTGAATTAACCAGGATGAACAAGTATTTTTCCGGATGATTTTTTTTGTCGTTGTTGTTTTAATTATTTGTTTGTTGTACCCTTATGATATATATCGTGTATCTTATAGCTTTCTTTACCACATTATAACAATAATTGTTTATGACATGATAAATGTGTGTTGAAAATATAAGGCGTTTTCACTGCAGAGTTATGTTTTTTTGATTTCCGGTAGAAATAATATTGTAGTTAAGAAATGATCCACAATTTCCGACCACATTTTAATTTCTCAAAAACTGTTCATATATCAAAGCCCATTGATTTTTGTCGCGTAATAAAGAACCCCCCCCCCCATCCCTGGCCTATTTAGCCTACTCCTTGTTCCCGTTCACAAGGTAATATTTGGTGAATATTTCCATACCTATTAGATCCTCTGGTCCTCTTGTTTTTCATGTCGTAAGCTACAATCTAAAATCTTGACCCATTTTTTTGTCGATTGATCTCCCCTCCCTGGGCAATTAACCCACCCCTCGTTTCCATTTGCAAGTGAAACAAGGAGAGAGAAAAAAATCTCCCCTGGTCGTGCTATTCATATATCAATGTACTCAAAAAGCTTTTCTGCATTTGACCTATTTTTGTCGCCTGACACCTCGCACCCCCCCCCCCTCCTCCACGCCTTCCAACACACTCTTCCTTCCCATTCGACCCCCCCCCCTTATGAAAGATAATTATCTGATGAATTCTCCACATCTATAAATCATATGGCCAGTGGAGGATGAAAACGACTCCCATTTCGCTTCCCATTAACTATTCACTTTACAGAATTCTATTTTCAACTCGTCTCCTTCGGGTCTATTCCATCATGGATGAAATATGGCGAGGATTAATCGATAACCCGTAGCCAAAAGCTGATGACCAGAGACGTCACGTGACTATCTCTAGTACTCCATAGGGAAACAGTGGCATCCATTATCTCTTTCATATTATGGCTATATCACATGTTCTCTTTACATCTTTACTATATAGATGAACGTTGCCCACGGAGGATGTAAAATAAATGAGTGTTGTGGGCTTTTGACCAGAGACGCCACGTGACTATCTCCAGTTCTCCACAGGGAATAGTGGCATCCATTATCTCTTCATATTATGGCTATATCACATGTTCTCTTTACATATTGTACTATAAAGATAAGTTGTAATGACCGTTGCCCGCGGTGGACGTAAAATAAATGAGTATTGTGGGCTTTTGACCAGAGGCAGGGGTCTATCACGTGACTATCTCGAGTACTCCATAGGGAAACAGTGGCATCCATTATCTCTTCATATTATGGCTATATCACATGTTCTCTTTACATCTTTACTATATAGATGAGTTGTAATGAGTGTTGCCCATGGAAAACGTAAAATAAATGAGTATCGTGGGCTTTTGACCAGAGGCAGCGGGCTATCACGTGTCTAAATGGACAGTACTTGTATATCAGCAGCATTCCACAGGGAAATACAGACGTCTATTATCTGGCCTACATTATTGCTATATCATATTTTTGTTCGCTTTACATATTAATCATTTCCATTGGTTCGGACTTCCATGCTTGATAAACTGCTTTCAAAATATCAGCTCCAGGTATCATTTCTGCAAAAGGATGTTGCATGGAAGTAAAACACGGTTTGTGAGTGAATTTAGTACACTTCGATACATGTATTACACTTCCAGACAGGCCTTGATATAAAAATCATTTTAACCTTATGCATTTTAATCCTTAAATATATGAATGTGTAACACATTTTTATTCATTTTCATTTACTTCTTTACTTTTTATTCTATTTCTTTTTCTTTTTCTTCTTCTTCTTAATCAACAATATTTAGCTATTTTTACTATCCATGGTGGATCAACGGGTACCGCTTAGGCATTGTTGGCTATATAGAGGGCACATGTAGCTACACGTAGTGCAGTCCCGCTTTAAGGCCATTGTTAACGATGCGTCGTTTGCCTGAC